GGCCCCGAGAGCGCCCATAACTGCGCCTCCAGAGGCCAAGATCAGTTATTTTCCTATGGTTTTTGCAATATTGTAACGTTCTCGCCTTTCTCGGCTTTCAAAAATCCTTGACGGCCCAAGCCGCTTCCATAATCGCCCCAGAACAACCCAAAAAAACCTCCAGAGGGCCCCAAGACGGCCCAAGAGGGCCCCAAAACTGCCCAAAGAGGCTCCCAAGACGGTCCAAGAGGCCGCGAAGACGGCCCAAAAGGACCCCGAGAGGGCTCCAATGCGGCCGCGAGAGGCCCCCAAGACAGCCTCCGAGGGGGCGAAACGGCGCAAAAGCGCCCCAAAACGACCCAAGACGCCCCCAAGAGGCCCCAAGAGCCCCCCAAGAAGTCTCCAAGAAGTCCCCCAGAAGCCTCCAAAAGGCCCCCAACAAGCCCCCCAAAGGCCACACAGCGACTGGAGTGTAAGGTTATTTTCCCCCTTCTGGGCGAACTGCGGCGCAGCGCCAGCCAGGTGGAAGTTGGTCACTGCGGCGCCCATGATTAGAGCCGGCGATGGAAGGGAAGATGGGGGGGTGTATGAAAAGGAGGGAGGGGGGAAAGGCCCCACAGAAGCCCCCAAGAGGCCAAAAGAAACTCCCAGGAGGCCTCCAGGAGGCCCCCAAGAGGCTCCCAAGAGGCCCCGCGACGACGTGACTGTACGTGCTCCGGACGTGCACCCCGCGAAGCGAGAGGAATCAACTGCCGCCGTTCGCGTGGCGTGCTCGACGGCGACCTGGCGCCCCGACGCGACACGGTGCGGCGCCCACTGCCTCAACACGCAAGTCTGAGGTGCGCCTATCGTGCGACACTTGGCGCCAACATACAAGTCGCCTGCGACGCGCGCGCGCTCGCAGCACCAACCCGACGCGGAGCGCTCCTTTACCTCTCGTCGCGCGATCATCAGCGCTCCGCAGGTCATGCGAAGACGAGCAGCAAACGTGGCGTCGTGCACGCGCGATAATCGCACGCGGCGCGGACGTACCCCCCCCCCATCGACGCGACGCGCGGGCATGGGCGCGCAGAAGGGTGCGCCCGCCGACAGACGAACCCACGAGCCCACTGCCTTTTTGCGGCTCGGGAGCCGGCCGTGCGGGGGGGTGGGGGGGGGCGCCCGCGACGTCGAGCGCGGCGCCGCCGCCCTCGACGTCCTTCGCGAACCCGAAGGCCTCAAGTGACCCGCCGCCGTTTGCATCGTGCGCTCGACGGCGCTGCCTGGGCGCAGACCAGTGAAAACAAACAGGCGGGAACGTCGTGCGCGCGCGCGCGAGCGCGGAACCCGATGCTCAGGACGCCCGCTCATCGGGAGAGTCGAGCTGGGACTCCGTCCCAGGTCGCGCGCGTGCGCTGGCGCGCAGGCGTTTCAGCGCCACGCGGAGACGCGGTCCGCAGGTGCGGGGCGGAAGCCCACGAGGTTGCAGATGCGGACTGAAGCGCAACCACATCCTTCGAGGGTTTTTTTGTAGTCCCAACAAGAGCGCGCGGTGGGGGGGGAGGCTGATTGGGAGATAGCGCGACGCACCCCCTGCGCGCCCGGGGCGCGGTGTCCCCCACCTTGCGTCGCCCCCTGTGCGCACCAGGGGTGCAGTATCTATCTCCTCATGTGCGGACGCGAAGCGCGGGGGGGTCAAGGCCTGCGTGCACAACATCGCATGTGCCAACCACAGACCTCGTGTGCACCACAAAGCGTGTTTACACCACTACGCCTGGGTCCACCACAACTGCTGCTGCAATACAGCATCTGCGTGGATCAAATCGCCTGCGTACACCACAAGGCCTGTGCACGCGGGCCTGTGTACACAGCAGCAGCCGTGTGCAGCGCAATGCCTTTGTACACCACAGTGCCTGCGTACACCACAACGCCGGTGTGCACCACATCTGCTGCTTCAGCAAAATCTGTGCTCCCGAAGCGCCTGTACACCACAGTGCCCCTGTACATTACCAAGCCTGCGTGCACCTCGAAGGTCCCGACGGGGCCACAATACCGAAAATCGCAGGGGGTCGAAATAATCATATTCAATATATAGGTCGCGCTCCCTGTTTATTAGGGCCACATTGCTTGTGCACACCGCACGGCCGATTTGCATCTCAATGAGTGTCTGCACAGCACTGCTTGTGCAAACAGCAGCTGCGGCAGCAGCAACATAGCGTGCACCACAGCGCCTGTATACACCACAGCGCCTCTGTACACCACATGGCCTGTGTGCTTAACGATGCCCATGTACACCACAATGCTTCTGTACACCAACCAACATGCCGGTGTGCACTACAGATTACGATGCAGGAGCCTCTGTGCGCCACAGCGATTGAATCCAACAGTGTTATTGTACACCCTCTGTCACCATGACGTAATGCGGTAGGCATTCTGGGCCATGCGGGGGGAGGGACCGCTCACGGTGTTCTCACACACACACACACACTTTTTGGCGATCGCGGCCTCGCGCGCAGCGACGAGGCCGAGAAACACACGCACACATCGACTGTTGGGCGATTGCGGCCTCGCGCGCAGCGACGAGGCGGAACAAGTCGAGCGAGCAACACGGAACTAGCGCGCGCAGCCGGGCCCTCTCTCTCACACACACACACACACACACACGCGCGCGCACACGCACGCACGCACACACACACACATGTGCACACACGCATACACACTCACGCACACACACACATACTTACACACACGCGCGCACACATACACATACGCACACACACACACACTAACACACGCACACACACACACACACACATATACACACACACACACACACACACGCACGCACGCACACACACACACACACACACAGGGGGGGGTCCATGCATCGGATTCCGCGCGCACAAGGTCCCATTCACAGAGATCCCCATTGGGCCCCACACACAGTTACACTGAGCCGTTTAGGGCCCACGCGCTGGCATCATGAATGCTTGCGCCGCGCTTCCTTACCTCGTCCCTCCTCTCGCCCCTCGCTCCCACCGCCAGCCGTTACATGGCCGAGTACGGGGTGGCGGCTCTGCGATGACCAGAAGCGGGCCCCCGCTCAAAGCACTTCTCCCGTGGGAAGACCACAACAAGGCAGACACAACCTCGTCCCTCGTGCTTCCTCCCTCCCCTTCCATGGGGGCGCGAACTAGCGGGCGAGTGGAGGGGGGGGGAGAGCGATCCCCTGAGAAGGCACCCCACACCTCTCAGAAGCCCCCCTGCCTTCTTAGAGGCCGCCTTGGAGCCTCTGGGAGAAGGCGGGGCCCGTCAAAGCAACCCGCTGCCTTCTCTTGAAAGGCCGCCATCCTCGCCCTGGCCCGTTTTGCGCGCAGACAGCTTCCCCAGCTCTCCAAGGTAGAAGAGCAAAGTCCGCCCACAAATGCGTCGCAAGGGGCAGACTGAAAGCTTGACTCGACGAGTGGACGCAGTCACTCTTCCCCACACAAGAGGAAGGGAAAAGTCAACCACCTGCACCACCCAAGGTGCTGTAAGAGAGAACTGCTTCAAAAAGCCTGTGCGGGCCGAAGCTGGGCTCCCGACCACGGGGGGGAGGCAGGAAGGGAAGAGAGGAGACGCGAGGGGAGCGGCGAATGGAATAGAAGAAGAAGGAACTGGATAAACAGAAATGTTCGACAGTCCACGCGGGTTCCTTGGATCTGCACCAGGACCTCCCTCCCTGGCGCGCGGAGCGCGCCAGGAGCAGCGCCGGAGGCGCCGCCAGGGGAGGCCCAGCGCCGATCCATGAAATCCGCGCGGAGCGTCGAAAGTTTATGTTTATGTAGTTTTTTGCTCCGCGAGGAGAGCGAACGTCCCTCGGAGGAACGTCGCGCTCGCCGATCGCCGCCGACGCGGCCCCGCGCCGCCCACGAGGCAGGGGCCAAGCCTCTGTTTGCCGCCCGCGAGGCGTCGGCCGCCGTATTGATCGTGTCGGGGGACGACCCCGCGAATCGGACACGCGCGCGCCCGCGCTGCAGAGGCGCACATCGCGCTGCAGAGGAATGGGCCCCATCGCGGTGCGACATCAAAATGAAACCGACAACGCCGAACCACAACTGCGAGGAGACCCCTCGGCTGGTCGGCAAATACTTGGGCACTTACCCATCCTCGAGACGCTGTGCAAATCGCAGACGTGTGGGATTAAGCGGGGCGCCGCATTGCCAGGCGAGGGCCAGGGTGGAGGAACCCCGCCCGCGTGGGCCAGACACATGTTTGAGAAAGCAGCGCGAGCAGAGAGGAGGCTCGGTTCGAGAAAGACCCTGCGGCAGAATGAGCTCCAGCTGCGGGGCCGGATACCACGGTGTCGTTTGAGTTCGGATGTGGCCGACTCCAGAAGCTCTAGGTACCGATTGGGGGCCACTGCCACTAGCGCCTTCGATGGAGCGAGCTCCCCATGGGAGCGCGAAACATTTGAGGCATGTGCGAAATTGGCGGGGGTACTGCATGCAGCCGTGGCCACTGGGGCCTTCGGTGCCGCTCCCTTTGGAGCCGCGAAACGTGTGGAGGGTGTGCGAAACTGTGAGGGGTACGCTAGCGCTGGCCTCTCAGGAGATCAGTGTCGATTCCGCTGGCTTCCGCCAACGTTCCGACTGCTTCCGCCAGGGAAACCGCCAATGCTTTGCTTCCGAGCGCCTCCGCTGGCCTTCCACCAGCCTTTTCCAAGGGCGAGGTGTCGACCCTTCGATCTCTCGAACACGAAGCGAGCCCTCTCCTGGAACAGCCCGTGTGGTTGTAAAGCCTTCTCCACCCAGCCGCGGCCTCCTCGCAGCGACGGCGGCAGCGCCAGCGACGACGACGGCGGCGGCGACGGCGATGGCGACGGCGACGCCGACGGCGACGGCGGCGACGACGACGACGACGACGACGACGACGACGACGGCCCAGCGGCGCCCTCCTCGCGGCACTTGAAGGGCTTACGGCCCGTGCCAGCGACGAGGGAGGCCCAGGCGCAGTACCCGTGCGTCGGGTCGAGGACCTTCTGCAGGCCAACGAGCACGCGGTCACCCGTCGCCTCGACGGTGCACTGCGAGGGCACAATTGTCTGGAGGGCTTCAAACCCCAAGGAGAGTTGGTGAAGGTTGCCCCGAATGTATACGGTTATGCCATTTTCCTTGTTCCTTCTTCGAACAAAAAACCGTGACGGCCGAAGTTTCCTAACTTTCGACCTCGGGGTGCCGCTTCTGGGTCTGGGGGCCATCGAAAAGAAACTCATCGGGATGAAAATTCAGCCCCAGGGAAGGGATCGAGAGTCGCTGGGCCATATCAAGATATTGTTTTTTATGTTTGTTTCAAAAAAATCAACAAGAAAAGCGTCTGAGAAGCGGAAAGGGGCAAGAGGCAGGCGCCCACCGTAGAAACAGCGACATCGTCGTCGTCGTCGTCATCGTCTCCGTCGTCAATATCGTCGTCGTCAATGCCGTCGTTGTCGACGTCGTCGTCGTCCGCGTCGTTTGCCAGCGGTGGCGACTGCCGGCGGCGGCGTGACGTCGTCGTCGTCATTCTCGTCGTCAACGTCGTCATCGTCGTCCATGTCGTCGTCGTCGTCGTCGTCGTCATCGTCGTCAATGTCGTTGTCGTCAATGTCGTCGTCGTCGTCCGCGTCGTTTGCCAACGGTGGCGACGTCTTCGCCGTCGTCGTCGTCCGCGTCGCTTAACAGCGGCGGCGACATTTCGTCGTCGTCGTCATCATCGTCGTCGTCGTGGTCCGCGTCGATTGCCAATGACGTGGTCGTCGTCGTCACCGTCGTCGTCGACGTCGTCGTTGCCCGCGTCGTTTGACAGCGGCGGCGACGTCGTCGTCCTTGTCGCCCGCGTCGTTTGCCAGCGGCAGCGACGTCTTCGTCGCCATCGTCGTCATAATCGTCGTATGTCGTCGTCGTCGTTGTCGTCAATGCCGTCGTCGTCGTCGTCCGCGTCGTTTGCCAGCGGCGGCGACGTCGACGTCGTCGTCAATGTCGTCGTCGTCGTCAATGTCGTCGTCGTCGTTTGCAAGCGGCGGCGACTTCGTCGTCGTCAACGTCGTCGTCGTGGTCGTCAATGTCGTCGTCGTCGTCGTACGCGTCGATTGCTGGCGGCATCGACGTCGTCGTCGTCCGCGTCGTTTGCAACCGGCGGCGACGTCATCGTCGTCGTTGTCGCCCGCGTCGTTTGCCAGCGGCAGCGTCGTCGTCATCGTCGTCGCCTATGTCGTCGTCGTCCACGTCGTTTGCAGGCGGCGGCGACGTCGTCGTCCGCGTCGTTTGCCACCGGCGGCGACGTCATCGTTAATGTCGTCGTCGTCGTCGTCGTCGGCGTCAATGGCGTCGTCGTCATCGCACCCGTCGTTTGCCAGCGGCGGCGACGTCGTTGTCGTCGTCCTTGCGTTTGCCAGCGGCGGCGACGTCTACTTCGTAGTCGTCAATGTCATCGTCAAAGTCGTCGTCGTCAATGTCATCGTCGTCGTCGGCTGCGTCGTTTGCCAGCGGCGGCGACGTACGTCTCCGTCGTCGTCAATGCCGCCATCGTCGTCAATGTCGTCATCGTCGTCCGCGTCGTTTGACAGCGGCGGCGACGTCGTCGTTGTCCGCGCCGTTGGCCAGCGGCAGCGACGTCTTCGTCGTCGGCGTCATCGTCGTCGTCGACAGTGTCGTCGTCGTCGTTAACGTCGTCGACGTCGTCCGCGTCGTTTGACAGCGGCGGCGACGTCTTCGTCGTCGTCGTCATCATCGTCGTCGTGAATGTCGTCGTCGTCGTCAATGTCTTCGTCGTCGTCGTCCGCGTCGTTTGCAGGCGGCTGCGACGTCGTCGTTGTTGTCCGAGTCGCTTGCCAGCGGCGGCGACGTCGTCGTAGTCGTGAATGTCTTCGTTGTCGTCGTCCGCGTCGTTTGCTAGCGGTGGCGACGTTTTAGTCGCCGTCGTCGTCAATGTGGTCGTCGACGTCGTCAATGACGTCGTCTGCGTCGTTTGCCAGCAGCGGCGACGTACGTCGTCGTCGTCAATAACACCATCGTCGTCAATGTCGTCGTTGTCCGCGTCGTTTGCCAGCGGCGGCGACGTCGTCGTCGTCCGCGTCGTTTGCCAGCGGCAGCGACGTCGTCGTCGTCGTCGTCATCGTCGCCGTCGTCAACGTCGCCATCGTCGTCGTCCGCGTCATTTGCCAGCGGCGGCGACGTCGTCATTATCGTCCAGTCGTTCACGTCGTCGTCGCCAATGTCGTCGTCGTCGTCGTCGTCGTCGTCGTCGTCGTCGTCAATGTCGTTTGCCCGCGGTGGCGACGTCGTCGTCGTCCACGTCGTTTGCCAGCGGCGGCGACGTCGTCGGCGTCATCAATGTCGTCGTCAATGACGTCGTCGTCGTCAATGTCGTCGTCTTCGTCCACTTCGATTGCCAGCGGCGGCGACGTCGTCATCGTCGTCGTCATCGTCGTCGTGCTCTTCGTCGTCCACGTCGTTTGCCGGCGGCGGCGACGTCGTCGTCGTCGTCGTCCGCGTCGTCTGTCAGGAGCAGCGACGTCGTCGTCGTCGTCGCCGTCGTCGTCAATGTCGTCGTCGTCGTCTGTGACGACGTCGTCCGCGTCATTTGCTAGCGACGTCGTCCGCGTCGTCGTAATCATCGTCGCCGTCAATGTCGTCGCCGTCGTCGTCGTCGTCCGCGTCGTTCGCCGGCGGCGGCGACGTCGTCGTCGTCGTCATCGTCGTTTGCCAGCGACGTCGTCGTCGTCGTCCGCGTCGTTTGCCAGCGGCGGCGACGTCTTCGTCGTCGTCGTCGTCGTCGTCGTCGTCGTCGTCTGCGTCGTCGTCTGCGTCGTCGTCGTCGTCCGCGTCGCCAGGAGGCGGGGGGCTCTTCCTCAACTCCTCGAAGAATTGTCCCCAGGGGGGGAGCTCTGGACTCCTCCGAAGAATGTCCCGCGAGAGTGGGGGGGGGCTTCCAGAACCCCCCTCTCCTCCAGGTTTTGGGGGACGAGTGGGGTTGTGGAACTCCCCCTGCCAGAAGCAGCAGACAGCGCTCGTTCAGAGCACAGGTCGTGATTCATCACGCCGTGCTCGTGTTCCCGACGTCGGATGCCAGAAGAGGGGGTTGTGCCAGCCCCCTCCGCGTAGTCCCCTTCCGAAGGCTGGAAGGGGGCTTCAATGGAAAGGGCCCAGGCCAGCCCACATGGGCTTGGCCAACCATCTCCCCTCTGCCGCACCCGATTTGAAACCCTCCAAGGATGTTGCGCATCAGGCGGGTCTTCTTGACGCGGTGGTGGTACTTTACCTCCCCGGCTTGCCCGTCCCTTCTCGTCACCATCCTGCCCCCCATGATCATCCTCCCCCGACATCCGCGGCCGCGCAAGGCCAACAAAGTCGCGAAGAAACGCACGACTGGCGCCTCAACCTTGCTCGTCGCTGCCCGCTCGAAAGGGGCGCCCGCTGCGAAGACGCTGAGGTGCCAAGCGGGGCGCAGATCTTGCGGCCAAGACCACTGAGATCCTGGCGCCACTACGACAAGAAGAAGAAGAAGAAAAAGAAACAGAGGCGATGAGGGAGGTCCTCAGCTGTGCCTGCAGGGTTGCCGCGGGACAGAGAGGACGAGAAAAGGGAAGGCGAGTGGAAATATGGAAGGGAGACAGGGGAGGGATATCAGGACAAGGGTCTACCCCCTCCCTCGAGACACAAATCCCTCAGCATCCTTAGTTCCACAGCGCACTGCCACTTCAAGCGCAAAACAAAGACTGAACAGAGAACGAGGAAAAGCAGAGACAGAGAGAAAGAGAGAGCGCGAATGCGTAACGCATCGCCCAGCGGCAAGCACGGCGCCGTGAATCCCAGAGAGGTCGGAAATGCCGAGCGCACACCTCGAATCGACGCGACGTAACCTAGTCGAGCACTCGCTCACGCCCGCGGCAAGAGAAGTTGCACAGCGAACGACGTGTCTTCATATCCGCCACCGTGCCCCTGGCACGAAGTGGAATGCCCCAAGGCTCATACAGCACAGAGAGGCCCGGACCAAGGCCGGCTGGGGTCCGCCGGAATCGCTCGCGTCGGCCTGCCCCGCCCACGAGGGCCCCAAAATAACCCCAGATGGCTCCAAGAGGCCCCACACATGGCCCAAAAGAACCCCAAGTCGCCCCAAGATCGCTCCAAGACGGCCGAAGAGGCCTCCAAGAGGGACCCAAGACGGCCTAAGAGCACCCCCAGACGGCCCAAGAGGCGCCCAAAACGGCCCAAGAGGGCCCCAAGACGGCCCCCAAAGAGGCCCAAGAAAGGGAACACAAACTGACAATCCGAGCCTTCCGCCCCAAGAGGCTCCCAGGAGGCCCCAAGAGGCCCCAAAGAGACCCCAAGAGGCCCCCAAGAGACCCCCAAGAGGTCCCAAGAGGCCCCCAAGAAACTCGAAAGAGGCCGCAGGAGGCCCCAAAACAGCCCCCAAGAAGCTTCAAAACTGCCTCCAAGAGGCCCCCGAGAGCCCCCCCACGAGATCCCAACGAACAACCAATAAGCTTTATACCCACAATCCAGGCACGGTGGCGGGATGGGCCGAAGGCAATTAGATGTTACTCCCTGGAGACCCTAGCAGCCAGTGAACACACACACACACACACACACACGCACCCACGTTTTGGCGTCGCGGCCCTGCGCGCAGCCACAGGGCGTAGGTCAGAAAACAGCAAATCGCGTGCGCGTCTCAGCCCGCCCGAGCACTCAGAGACCACTCAGGGTCACGCAGCCGCCGGCAGCCATGACCATCCAGGCATGGATGGCGGGGGGGAGCGGTGGGAAGACGAGACGACGGTAAGGTAGAAGGTGCCATAAGCCAACTGGGACTGAAGGCAGGGGGGGCGAAAAAAAAACAGAGTGGAGCGACAAGGAGGCGAATGCCGACCTGGAAGCCAAAGCCGCCCGAGCGTGAATGGCGAGGAGATGCTATGGAAAGACGAGACTACGGTGAGTGGGAGAGGGGCCAAAAGCCAACCGACACTGAAAGGCAGGGGGAGCGAGAGAGCAGAGTGGAACCACGAACAGGCCAAGGACGACCTGAAAGCAGAGACGCAAACGCACACACACAGATGAATGAAGGATTGGGAAAGAGGAAGGAAGCGAAAGCGAAAGCGGCGGAGCAGAAACGCGACAAGGAAAACACAAATAAAGGATGACCCGCCCAAACGCTGGCAACTCCAAAAAAGGTTTCTCAGCTCACGGCGATGGCCTCTATTGTGTTCAGGAAGCAAATCCTGGGAGGTCTTCACACGATTGATTAAGGGATATTCGGCCCAACCAAGGGGCCAATAACCTGGAGTGCGGTGAGGGCGTTGGATAATAAACCATCGGATATTCAATCCAGGGTCTGGAAGCAAGTGGAACTCCAATCGTGGATTTGCCATGGATCTCACCGCCGGCCTCGTCAAAGAAAAACCGTCCAAGGTCAGGAACCTCCTAAGCACATGCCTTAATGGACGCCCCCACCGTAAACTGGATCACCCCGAATCGAGCCCAGAATCAGGCCCGATAAAGCCAGATTACGCAGGACTGGGCATGATTAGGCGGGACGATGCCAGATTAGGCTTGTTTTAGACCACGCATGTGCCAGCGCCGGTGCTGACTCTCATCTCCTAAGGAGTTGAATCCTAACTCTGTGAGGAGAGAGGGCGGGACCCCGCGGGGGAAGCCACCCCCCACACACGAACGCATGGAACAGACTGCAGCGCCGCCCAGTTCGGCAGAGCAGCGTCAAGTCGATGCGGGGGGGGAGCGGGGGACATGCACAGGAGAGGAAGAGGAAGAAAGGGGAGAGGGGGAGAGGAGGCACCCGCAGCAGAAAAGGAGGCCCTCAGAACTCACCCATGAAAGTGTAGCAATCGACCGGGCGGAAGCCCAGCGGATCGGTGGGATCATCCACATAAGCACCGACCTGTTCTAAAAACGCTGTGGGTTCCAAATTTGATGTTGACTCGACAAAACCGTCAAAAACGGCACCCCAGAAAGTGGGCGTCAGGCAGGCAGCATCGTGAGATGTAGAAGCGGCTTCAAACGCAACGACAGCCGAACAAAAGCGGGCGGGTGGGTCACGGACCGAGCCCAAACCTGAAAACGCAACAACTACGGCGCGCAAGAATGGCACACAAGCATGGGTTTAAAAGGAGCGGAAGAAAACAGTAGCATGCCATGAACGTTTGTAATTTGCAGATGACACGTCTCTGAGCAGGGAGAGAAGGATAAGGAAAGGGCAAGGACGTTAAGAAGAAACTGAGGAGCACAATCCGAAGAAAAATGCGAAGTGTGTTTTCGCGACACGGGCCCACTGGGATCGCAACCCCTTCCCCAGGGCCAGCTTTTCACCCAGAGCAATGTCTGACGGCCCCGTGGCCAGAAGCGGCCTTTGAATGCCGAACACGACATGCACAACCTGCATATCACATTAATTCTGCGTCGTCTGGATCTAAAGGGAAGAAAGGCCCAACCTTTGACCTGAGGATGCCGCAGGGCGGGAGGTGGAGGCCGGCCACGCCTCTGGAGACTCGGGCCACACCACGTTCCAGACCTCGGGGGCGACTCCTGCCTCCCCATCTGCCTCCAGCTCCGCCGTCCATCCAGCCCACCTCTGCCATTCCCTTCTCCACCCGTTATCCTTATAACAAACTCCTCCCTCACGCCATCGCCATCACCAACATCATAATCATGTTCGTCCTCGTCACCAAATTGCTTCTCATCTCCGTCTCGTACTCTTCTTCTCCGTACTCCTCCATCTCCACATCCAACTCTCCCACGTTCGCATCCACCTCCTCCCTCGACAGCATCCCCACCTCCCGCTAATAACTCGTCCCTGCCGCACTCCCAGACGTGTTGGCAGGGCGGGCCGGAGGTTTCGCCCGAGACTTCCTCACCATTTGTGATCCTGAAGCTTGAAGCGTGAAGTTTGCAGCAACTACACGGACGGAGAGGGAGTGGTTATCAAAAGGAGGCTCTGCCGTGGTGCCGCGCACAGTCATCAAAAAGATTGCAACAGCTTCAAGACTGGGAATAGTTTTTAAAATGGGGTTCCCACCATAGCGCCGCGCACAGTCGTCTTCAAAGCTTGAAGCAGATTCAAAAAATGAGGGGGGGCGTTTTCAAAATGAGACTTCCGCCTGAGCGCCATGCACATTCGTCTCAAAAGATTGCAGAAGCTTCAAGGATGCTGGAGCGTCTTCAAATGGGGCTCTCGCCCTAGCGACGCGCACCTCCGTGTTTAAGAGCTCGCAACAATTAGACTGATCGGCGACGGCTTTTTCACACCATGGTGTTCTTGCTTAAGACTCCCTTAATAAACCACACTTCAACATATGCATCAGCTGCAGGACTGGAGTGCAGCTCCTTGAAATAATTGGGGCCGCGCTTGAGAGCTCGACGAAGTTCCGATCCAGAAGTATGATCTTGCGGGACACCTGCACATACGCATATAAATATGTGTATACAAGACTGCAGTGGCGCTTCGCGCCATGCACCTTGGTCCCTGAAGTTTGGTATGCAGGCGGAGTAGCAGGAAGGTCAAGCTGACAACTTAGCGATAACTCCTTCTTGCCTTTTCTGGCATCGCCGCTACAATAATGTTACTCGTTGTCCTTCCTCCATGCTTCTTTTCCTCAGCCACAGCTCTTTTTTGCGGAGGCTGCTCCTTGGAGAGCCTCTGGGGGCCTCACAAAAGTTGTTTCCGGTTTTCTTGAGGCCTTCTGCAAGCCTCCTGGGCGTATTCTGGGGGCCTCTGGGGGCTTCCTCGGGCCACCCTGCCTCCAACAGCGGTCTCCCTGAACGACCGGGTCACGATTTGGAATGCTTCGGAGGGCGTCTTGGGGTCATCTTGGGCCGCCATGGGGCTCTCTGCAGGCCATCTTGGACCCGTGTTGTGCCGTTTTGGGGCTCTCTTGGACTGCCTGGAAGCCCTTTCTGATGGTTGTGGGGCGATTTGGCAGCCTCCCAGGCGGCTTCGGATGCCCAGAAGACCGCCGCCTTGAAGCGTCGGGAAGCCGAAAAGAGGAGAACCCCAAAATTCACCAAAAACCCACATGACGTCACGTCGGTCACTCTTGGAGCGCTCTTGTGCTGTCCTGGGGGTCTCTGGGACGTCTCCGATGACCCCCCTGATCGCCCTAGGTGTGCTGGGAAGGCTTGGCAAAACGCCCTGCGAGGCCCGGGGGGCCGCTTCGAGGTCCGTCTGGAGTCTGGAGGGTCCCAAAGCCCCAGATCCCGGGAGTCCGGTTTGTCTTTTTGGGGGGGGGGTCCCCCGTGAAAAAAGTGAACGCCCCAGGGGTCCGTTCCCGTGCCCGTTCCCGTTCCCGTTCCCGTTCCCGCTCTCTCTCTCTCTCTCTTTCTCTCTAGTTCTCTCTCTCTCTCTCTCTATCTCTCTATCTCTCTTTCTCTCTCTCGCCCTCCCTCTCTCTGTCTCTCTCTCTCTCTCTCTCTCTCTCCCCCTCCCGCTCTCTCTCTCTCTCTCTCTCGCGTCCAGGGGGTCCCTGGGACCGAGATCGAAGAACCGCATATCCCCAAATCTTGCAAAAGCCATAAGAACATCAATAATTGCAGGTCCCTGCCACCCTGAAAGGGGGATCAAGAGGGGGGGCCCAGAAAGGCCGCGGACGCTCGGAGGCTTGTTGGGCTCTCCTGGGAGGCCTCGCGGGGGCCTCTTGGAAACATGTTTCAGGTTTCTTGGGGCCCGTTGGGGGCTTCTTGGGTGCGTCAGGGGGGATGTCTTGGGGGTCTCCTGGGAGTTCGCTAGCGGTCTCGGAAGGTATCTGTCAGACGCCTACGGCGAATCATCGCCGTAGACGAAGGGGATAGGGAGGGGGAAGGGGATTGGGAAGGGGGAAGGGGATTGGGAAGGGGAGAGGGGGGGGGGAAAGGGGATGGGGAGAGAGAGAGAGAGAGAGAAAAAAAAAAAAAAAAAAAAAAAAAAAAAAAGTGAGGTGGGCTGAGAGTGGAAGGGAAGGAGGGTGCAAGGGGGAGGATGACAACGTTGACGATGCTGACGTTGTTGACGATGACGATGGCGATGACGACGACGACGACGACGACGACGACGACGACGACGACGACGACGACGACGACGACGACGACGATGATGATGATGATGATGATGATGATGATGATGATGATGATGATGATGATGATGAGGATCATGAGGATCATGATGATGATGATGTGGATGATGAAAGATTGATGATGATGGCGATGATGACGATGATGATGACCGATGATACTGATTATGAAGATTATGCTTATTATGATGAACGTGCTAATTATGATGATACTGATAATGGTGTTGATGATGATGGTGCTGATGAAGATGATGATGATGATGATGGTGGTGATCATGGTGATCGTGATAGTGATGATGGTGGTGATGATGATGACTGATGATGAAGACGATGTTTGGTGCTGATGAGTACGATCTTGGTGATTGCTGTAGTGATCAGGATGATGATGGTGGTGATGATGATGCTAATGATGGTGATGATGATGATGATGCTGGTGATGATGGTGATGATGATGATGGCGATGCTGATGCTGATGATGATGGTGATGATGATGCTGCTGATGATCATGATGACGATGATCATTCTCCCTCCTCCTCACTCCTCCCTCCTTCTCCCTCCTCCTCCCTCCTCCATCCTTATCCCTCCTCCTCCCTCCTCCCTCCCTCCCTCCCTCTCTCCTCCTCCCTCCTCCCTCCTTCTCCCTCCTCCTCACTCCTCCCTCCCTCCCTCCTTCTCTCTCCTCCTCCCTCCTCCCTCCCTCCCTCCTTCTCTCTCTCCTCCTCCCTCCTCCCTCCCTCTGTCCCTCCCTCCCTCCTCCTCCCTCCTCCCTTCTCCCTCCCTCCCTCCTCCCCTTCTATTCTCTGAAAATGGCACGGGCGGCAGGAACGGGAACGGGAACGGGAACGGGAACGGGAACGGGAACGGGAACGGGAACGGACCCCTGGGGCGTTCGCGCGCCTTTACGGGGTTCCCCCCGCCCGGGCTTATAAAAATATAGGAAGAGGAATATCCGCCGGCCCCGATGTGGGGCCACCAGGCTGTAGGCTCAGGGTTCGCTGTTCCCTGCACCAGTTCCAGTTTCCAGTTTCCACTGTTACAGTTCTGCTTTTTGTTGCGTACTGTTCCTTGCTGTAGACCGCGCGAGGGGGGAAGCCGAAAACCGCCCTGGTTTGCACCTCCTGGGAGGGGTCTTAGGTTTTCTGAGGGCGACGAAATTGACACCCCTCACGCAGATCGGCGGAGTCAGGGTCGAAAAACACATGGGATTTGCCACATGTCTTGAAATTCGGTGGCACCCCTCACGCAGATCGGCGGGGTCAGGGTCCAAAAACCAATACGATTTGCAACATTCTACAATTCGGCGGCACCTCTCACACAGATAAGCAGGGTCAGGGTCGAATAACACAAAGGATTTGCCACATTTCTGAAATTCGGCAGCGCCTCTCACGCAGATCGGCGGGGTCAGGGTCCAAAAGCACATGGGATTTGCCACATGTCCTGAAATTCGGCGGCACCCCTCACGTAGATCGGCGGGATCAGGGTCGAAAAACATGATACCGGAGAAGAAACCCAATCGGGGATATAGGGCTAGAGGGCTATAGGGCTGTAGGGCTATTGAGCTATAGGGCTACAGAGCTATAGGGCTATAGAACTGTAGGGCTATAGGGCCATAGGGCTATAGGGCTATAGGGCTATAGGGCACCCCCGGGCACCCCCGGGCACCCCCGGGCACGCCCGGGCACCCGGGAAACCGGGCAAACGGGCACCCGGGCACCCCCGGGCACCTCCCGGGCACCCAGGCGTGCAGCGAAAATCGGCGGCCAACCTCACCCCCGGGCACCCCCGGGCACCCCGGCACCCGGGCGTGCGGCGAAAATCGGCGGCAAACCTAACCTAACCATATGAATCCACTAGGACCCCTACAGAGGCAAGCTCTGATTGAGGAATATGGAGTTGCCACATGTCCTGAAATTCGGTGGCACCCCTCACGCAGATCGGCGGGGTCAGGGTCGGAAAACGAATGAGATTTCCAACGTTTTTAAAAATCGGTGGCACCCCTCACGCAGAGCGCCCGGGGTCAGGGTCGAAAAACACATGGGATTTGCCAGATGTCTTGAAATTCGGTGGCACTCCTCACGCAGATCGGCGGGGTCAGGGTCCAAAAACCAATACGATTTGCCACATTCTAGAATTCGGTGGCACCTCTCACGCAGATAAGCAGGGTCAGGGTCGAAAAACACAAAGGATTTGCCACATTTCTGAAATTCGGCGGCGCCTCTCATGCAGATCGGCGGGGTCAGGGTCCAAAAGCACATGGGATTTGCCACATTTCATGAAATTCGGCGGCACCCCTCACGTAGATCGGCGGGATCAGGGTCGAAAAACATGATACCAGAGGAAAAAAACAATCAGGGATATAGGGCTAGAGGGCTATAGGGCTATTGAGCTATAGGGCTATAGAGCTATAGGGCTATAGAGTTGTAGGGCTATAGGGCTATTGGGCCATAGGGCCATAGGGCTGTAGGGCACC